CCAGCTCAGAAAGATCACTTGGGAAAGGGCAAAGTTCAGTTCACTAACAACCATCCATACTTTCAGGGTGAGGCATGTGTCACCATCAAAGGACCTAGATCATATGAGCAGAGAGATTCCTTGGGATCTAGAAGTGTTTCAGCTTCTGAAGCCCTTTTACTTGAACCTCTTTGTATTCTAGTGTGATCTCAAAAAGAAATGATCTGACCTCTTTACCCTATTCTTTGGCTATAATGATAGCTCACAGCCTTGGAATTTTCATAACCCAATTAACCAAGCAGATGATGTCTAGTGAACTCAAGGTCTTTCCAGTGGCCATAGGTCTTGGAAGAAAGAAGCATTTTCTGTATCTAATGTATGCCAAAATTTCAACTTTAAACTCCATAAAGATATTATAAGTCGTCATAGTTTTCCCATCTTGCAGATAAGGAAACTGGTTACAAAAGTAGCTAATAAGTAGCAAGGCTAAGATTTGTACTGAGATTTCCTTGCTCCAAATCCAAGTAACACTGTGACCATGTAAGACTGAGTGGCAAAAGTGTAGCACACACAGTTATATACAGTATATAATATTTGATAATGAAATAAATGACTATGTTATTGGTTAAAAAAAAAAAAGACATGGGCTGGGGATTTAGCTCACAGATTCGGTGGCCTGCCTCGCAAGCGCAAGGACCCGAGTTTGATTCCCAGTACCAAAAAAAAAAAAAAGAAAAGACAGAGTGGCAAGCCCAGGAAAGAAGAGCAAGCCAGAGCATCAGGTAAATCCCATGTTTCACTGAAGATCATCAGTAATGACCACTTAGTGATAACTAATTTGTTAGTGGCACAAGAGTGGCACCCAGTGGCTTCGGCTACAAACTACATGATTAAGGATGACAGGTCAAATTATTTTACCCCTGGGCCAGTCCCTCATTTTCCGTTCCTAAAGGAAAGTTAGACTAGCTGACACTCTTTGCATAACAAAGAATAAATTAACCAAACAGCTATTATATAGTTTGTAGAAATGGAAGAAATAAGAGAATATATATTTAGAGTGTTATAGAATATATTGAAGAAAAGAGGTCATGCAGGCATGGAAATTTAATACCTGGGTATCCGAACAAACAGTGGGTAAGGAAGGAGTAGACAAGATAATACTCCAGAGCTTAATGTATAGATGTGTTTAGGGACAGAGAACTTAAACCCGGAAAGAGCAGGAGAGGTAAAAAGTAGTCAATTTCCCAAGGAAAGACATTATTTCTTTAAGGGTCATTCTTTACGAATATATGTTAAATCCAAGCAAGTGTAATAGGAAGAAAAGGGTTAAAGGTGTAGGGAAAGTGGGAAGGTAGGAGAAAGGTAATAAGGGGAAAGAAAAAAATATGAGAAAATGAAAAAATGGAAATAAAGTGTTTGTAAATGGGGCGGGGAGGAGGGGGTGAAGGGAGGGCAGAGACAAGGGAAAAAAATGAGAACCAAGACCTGTCATGTAGAGGTACAAGACCCCAATGATGAATGTAACTGTACTGTATACCTAAAATGTACCGCTAAACTCAAAGAGAAAAAAAAATCCAAGGAAGTGTATCCCAAGGACAGGGCCTCTTCTAGGGCTCAGATGATGAATGGATAGTTAATGTTCTCATAGAGATCATGTGGGCAATTACTTGGTATGACCCATTTCACAAAAGAGAAAAGTTTATATATCTATGTAATTTTCAAGACTAGAATGAATAGCAGAAAACAAAAGCTTTTTCTCAAAGAAAAAAATTTTGGAAAATTTCTCAGTATCTCCTGAATTCTTGCTCGCCCACCTTCTTACCTTCCTACCTCCCTCCCTTCCTGTCCACCCCCATCCATTTTTTTTTCTTTTGTAGTACTAAGACTGAACTCAAGGGCACTCTACCACTCAGCTGTATCTCCCATCATTTTTATTTTGAGATAGGATCTTGTTAAATTACTATACCTAGCCTCGAACTTGCAATCCTCCTGCTTTAGCCTCCAGAGTAGCTGGATTATAGATGTGCATTACCACATCCAGCATTACTGTGTCTTTTTTCATACCTTTGCTCCATCCATTTTCCTTGGAATGCAGTTACTTAAAAATTGAAACTTGTTTTCATAAACAGTATATGATATCTTTGTGTGTGTGTGTGTGTGTGTGTGTGTGTATACCGGGGATTAAACTCAGGACCTTGTGCTTGCAAGTCAGGCAGTGGCACCACTGAGTTAAATTCTGGCCCCCATATGATATCTTTTTAATTGTGATATAATTCTCATACACTAAGATTTACCATTTTGAAGTATACAATTTGGTGGTTTTAAGGATGGTCACTGTATTGTGCAACCATCACCACAAATTCCAGAACATCTTTATCACACCAAAAAGAAACTGTACCTATTAGGTTACTGGCAACCACTAATCCACTCTCCCTCTGTGGATTTGCCTATTCTGAATATTTCTTGTAAATGGAATCATAAAATATGTGGCTTCTTTCGTTTGCAGGGTTTGTCTTGTAACATGTCATAGTACTTAATTTTTATGACTCTATAATCTTTCTTTTTAAATAGATAGACCACATTTTATTTATTCATCAGGTGATATTCAAATTTTTCCCACTTTTTAAATATTATAAATAATGCTGTTTTTGAACATTTTTGTGGCCATATGTTTGAAATTCTCTTGGGTATATCCAGGGTATAATAGAAAAATATGTGTTTAAATTTTTAAAATGTATTACTGTAAGACACATTGCCTTTAATCTCCCTCACAGTACTCCACCTTGCTTTGAACACATTTATCCCATTGTTCTTGCAGCTTTCTGAAGCAACTCTGAAAGTCCTCTTTTGTATTTCTATTGTACTGTCCTAAATTGCGTCCACGTTTACCTTTCATGGTCAGTTTGGCTTTGGGAAGAGCTAGAAGTTGCACAGTGCCAGATCTAGTGCATACAGAAGATGAGCCTTTCCAGCAACAGCATTTATGGTATTTTTGATCACACCTTGTAAAGACACAAAAGGGGGCTTGCAGAACTGCTTCAGGAAGTGACAAAAATGTTGGGATAAATGTGTGAAGTGAGGGAAGATATTTTGAGGAAATTAATGGCAATGTGTCTTTTACTAAAATAACTTTTAAAAAAATTTTAATATTTACCATATATTTTGATCACCCATTGTATCTAGGAGTAGAGTTGCTAGATCATATTAATAACACTGTGTTTAACCCAGGGCACCACAAATGCTAAGCTCATCCTCTACTTGACCTATACCCACAGCCAGTTTAACTTCTTAAGACATTTCTAAATCATTTTCCAAAGTTTTGGCACCATTTTATGTTCCTGTTAGCACTATACTAGTGCTCCAGTTTCTTCATATCCTTGTCAATGGTTGCTTTTATTTTATTTTCACTATTATTATTGCAACCCTAATGGATTCAGTGATTTTTTTTTTTTTTTTGAGACAGGGTCTCATTATATAATTCAGGATGGCCTTGAACTCACTATGTAGCCCAGGCTGGCCTCTAACTCCCAGTGATCCTTCTGCCTCAGCCTCTGAAGTGCTGGGATTACAGGTGTGCACCACCATACTTGGTTTCTCGTAGTGTTTTAATTTGCATTTCCCTAATGAATAACGCTGATGAATGATGCTGAGAATCTTTTCATTGCTTATTGGCAATTTATATTTTGGTTGGAGGGATATCTTCACATCTTTTGTCTATCTTTTAAAAGGGTTGTTACTTTATTGTTATGAGTTATTTACTCTTGATAAAAAATACTTTATTTGCAAATATTTTATTTCATTCTTGTGGTTTACTGACTCCTCATAATTTCCTTTGAAGTGGGTTTTTAATTTTTATGAAGAGGACGTATATTTTTTGTTTGTATTCTTTTTTTTCTTCTTCTTCTTTTTTTTTTTATTGAGTTTATTGGTACATTTAGGGATACAGTACAGTTACATTCATTGTTGGGATCATGTACCTTTACATGGCAAGTCTTGATTCTCATTTTTTTCCCCTTACCTCTGCCCTCCCTTCACCCCCTCCTCCCCTCCCCATCTACAAACACTTTATTTTCATCTTTTCATTCTCTCACATTTTTTTCTTTTCCCTTTTTGTTCTTCCCCTACGTATCACACCTTCCCTACATCTTTAGCTCCTTTCCTCCCATTTCTAAATGTCAGTAATCTTATTAGAATCTTATGCATTGTTGCAGAATATTCACACCAGGGAAACTATTCGGTATTTACACATGTTCTTCTTCTTAGTATTGGGTATTCAACCCAAGGTCTTTGCACTGAGCTACATCCTCAGCCCTTTTCTCATTTTGTTTTGAGACAGGACCTTGCTAAGTCACTAAATTACCCAGGCTGGGATTGAATTTAGAATCCTTCTGCCTCAGTTTCCTGTGTATTAGGGTTACAGGTTTGTATTGCCATGCCTGGTTTATATTTGTATTCTTGTAAAGAAAAATGGGAGGATTGAGTTCTGGTCTCAGTCAATACCTTTGTTTCCCTGTCCTAATTGGACCAACCGGTATGGCAAGCTTTTGAGACTATGCATGACTATAGAATGTGCCCTATGCTTCCTATGTTTGACTCTGTCAGCCCCTTGGTAATCACTTACCTTGTGTAAGACACAAGGGACAAAAAGTATGTAAAGGGACAGAAGTATGATGAACATTATCTTTCAAGGGATTTAAACTATAGATAATAGATGTATTAACATAAAAATGATGAACTGGGCCTTGGAGAGCATACTTCAGATTCCAAGGAGACAATAGGGAACTGTCTGGATTTCAGAGAAGGCAGGGTGTGTCTGAAGTGGCCACACTGACCTGCAGAACAGGCCACAGAAGGAGGCCCTAAAGGCTGGAGGCTGGGTAGGGGATTCACCAGCGAGGATCAAGTTAAGACAGTTAGGTGAAGACAGTTCTGTGTGATCAGTGAAGCCACCAGGCACACTCCTGCCTCACTAGGGCTCATTCATTCTGCAAAACTCACTTGCGACTTCTAAATTTTGTAAGCAGCTGATTCCAGAGAAAAACAATTCAGCCCAGAGCACGGAGGATGCACATGAGAGCGGCAGCCCAGAGCTTCTTGCAGGTAAGGCTTGAATTTTTCAGTTAAGTTCTGGATGAAAATTGTGAAAGTAAGAATTGTGGCTCAAACTATCCCACTGTGCCTTCAACCACAACTACATCCTTCTGGAATCTGGTTGGCTCCCACTGCCATTGGGGTCTTCCAGGGCCTCAAGCAGGCATTTTCTCCCCAAAGCTGGTATGATAGGACTTGAAAATTTTAATATAGTTTGTACTGTTACAGATAGCAGTAGGTGATGGATCAGGAGAGAGGGTACTAAGAAAAATCAGGGCCTAAGTTGGTAATGGTTAATACTCTGTTTTGGGCTGTGGTGGCTACTCCTGGGTGCAGATACTACCTCAGACTTGATGTGTGTTATGAGGAAGTGTCACTGTATATAAATGATAGCAATTATACTGTCTTTCTTCACATAGGTCCTCATACTTCAACAGTGTGGGGCCAGCAGCAGCAGGGGTAGTAGCAGTACAGTGTAGTCTGGCAGGTACAGGGCACTGTTCTGGAGCTTTTACGGTATATTAATGCTCTTAGTACTCAAAATAATCCTATAAAGTAGGAAGAGGAGCTGAATTTCAGCCTGCTGTCGCCAGAGCCCATGCTTTCTCCACTGTGCAACATGAGCCTTAAAATCTAGATGCTGGTTCCTTGAGCTGTTGTGCCCTCTCACTGGCATGCATTCTGTGCTCCGTGTGGGCAGGATCGCTGAAGAAAATCACTGAAAAGCTGTGTTTTGATGCCTCCACCACACATCCACGGTCTGTTCACTCAGGAGCCTTTCATTTGTCAATCCTTTGCCTTATCTTTCTGGGCCTTTCTCCACGACGGCTACTTCAGTCCCCCCACCCACCCCCCAACACCTGTCTTTTGAGGCCCTGGGGCTTGAACCCAGGGCTTTATACAATCCTCCTTTTTTGTTACAAAAGTCTTGCTGAGTTGCCCAGGCTGGCATCAAACTTGTGATCCTCCTGGCCTCAACCTCCTAAGTACTGGGATTACAGGTGTGTTCCACCATGCCCAGTGGCTACGCCATTCTTAAAAAAGAAAATCTACCTGGCCTCTTTTCCCAACTTCGTCTCCTACTTTACTTTGCTGATTTCTTTCTCAAGAAATTCACCAACTTGTATTCCTCCCACTGCAGAACCTTAACAGTGTGGGGCCCTATCCCCTTCAGGTTCAGGACATCACCCTTCCTGCTTTCTCAGAACTTGCTTGTATCAATTATCACTTCTGCACCTTCAACTATTTTCTTCGTTCTTTTCCTTTAGCCTACCAATCTCTCATTTCTTCAGAAGTAAATCTCTTGGACCTTGAATTTACCCCATATATCCTCTCAGTCTCTGTCCAGCCCATTTCAGCCAAGGTTCTCAAAAAAGGTTACACCAGATGCAGTGGCACACACCTATAATCCCAATACTAGGGAGGCTGAGGCAGGAGGATTGCTGTGAGTTCAAGGCCAGGCTGAACTACATATCGAGACCCTGTCTCCAAAATAAGTAAATAAATACCCCCCTAAAAAACCCCAAAACAAAAGCAAATTACATGTACCCCCCCCTTTCCAGAACCTAAAGCACTTGCTTTCTTTGTGGCCTCTCTAGTTACCAAATTGTTCTTTAGCTTTACCATTTGTAAACTATTTGCAGAATTCAGCACTGTAAGAATGATTTATTTGGTTCTCTTTCCTACCCTTCCTCTCCCACCACCTTCTTCTAGCCGTCATTAAACAGTGCTCATTCTAAACTCCCTTCTAGCTCCTGTCTTCCATCCAGTTTTTGACCACTGCCTCTGGGCTCATGATTACCAAATTGGTATCACTTGTTCAGGCCTCTCCTGCGCATCAGAGGGAACCTTATCTGCTCAGTGGGCAGCTCCACATGGAGGTCCCATTGACACCTCAGTTTTTTCCCTCCTGATGCCTTGCCTTCTGCTCACCACAAGTCAGCTCCCCTTACTTTATAGTCTTGTCATAGGACCACTATCTCTGAAACTGTCTCACCATAACTGAAATATCGGATTAATTCCCTCACTCCCATGTTCCACATGCAGTTGTTGATCACCAGGCCTGTCAGTTTGGCCCGATGACTACTTTGCTGATGGCACCTGCATCCCCACCACCTTCACTTCTCTTGAGCTCTTGAAACTCTCCTGTCTCTAGTTTTTGAAGGAAGTCAACCTTTGACAGGATCATTCTAACATAAAATCAAGAATATATCTCTCCAGTCCTTAAAATGCTTCACTGGCTTCCTAAGTTTCCTGGGGATAAAAATGTTTCTTACTTAGCCTTTTCTGATTTCTGCTAATCTCCTAGATTTATCTCCTAGAATCTCCCTCTCCCTCCGTCTCTGTCTCACACACACACACACACACACACACACACACACACCCCTTGCATTTGTATAAACTTTATTTGCTTGATTTTCAGAATGGAATTCTTTTTATTTGCAAACTCAGTTCGGGATCTTCTGGGGGGGGGGAACCTTTCATCACCTCCGCATGGTTAAGTTAACAGATTCCTTCTCTTTTACCTCTGGGTTTTGTGCACACTTGGGCATCCCTCCCAGCACCTGAGCTTCTCCTAGGGAAAAGCTCACTTTTCTATATTGCCGGGACCTCTTCAGGAAGAATCCATAGATTTAAAGGCCCTTTAAATTTGCACAAGTAAATCAGCAATAAGAAAGTGCCTATAGGCACTGCCCAATACCATAGGAGAGAGGACGGGGCTGGCTTGCTTTCCTAGGAATCAGAGCTTAGCAGGGAAGGAAGAGCTTGATAGTGCAGACTTCATGGGCAATCTGTATTTGAAAAGTCAGAGGAGTCTAAGCCTCCAAGTGAGGGCTCTGTAGAATCCCAGAGGCCGCTTTCAGAGCCAGCTCAGGTGGGACAGAGGGGCCTGAAACAGCCCTGAAGGCCCTGTAACTGCAGGGTTTTGATCTGGACAGGACCTGGGAATAAGATGAAGTGGGTTTGCTTTCTCCTAGAAATCAGCAGGCAAGCACAACGCAAGAGGCCCAAAAGCGACAGCTTCTGCCATGGCCAGGAGGAGACGCTAGCTTTCATGACCTCACATCGCGCGGAGCCCCACGACGCTTCTCTCACCCCGAGGGAAGAGGAGGCCCGCACAGTCCACGACAGGGCCCCAGCCCCAGAGAGGGCAAGCTCGGGCAGCGGCTTGGAGGTAACGGCGAGCTCCGTACAGAGAAGGGCGAGGCAAGAGCGGCGGGGACCAGGCCTCTGAGGAAGGATCCTTAACCTGGACTCTTTTACTCCCGCAGGATGCACTGTGGCTGCAGGAAGTCTCGAATCTGTCCGAGTGGCTGAGTCCTGGCTCTGGGTCATAAACTGTGCCACTCCTAAAACTCTGGGGGATCGAGAAGCTGGAGGGGGCAGCGTGACAGCTGGTTTAATAAAGTTGCTCCACACGCATGCGCCGAGTCTGCTCCAGTACCTGGGCGGGGGTGGGGGCGGGGCCCGA